AGGGCTGCCTCCTGCCACCGAAATGTATATATAAATTGATAATGTGCAATGCTCCACACTAATAACATCTGCCCAAAATGCATAACACTGGAGATGCTTCGTCTTGAGGCACCCTTAAATCTGATCTTATCCAGAAACTCGTCTTTCCGAAAACAACTACACAGAAATGCAGCTTGAAATAAATTGATCTACGTCCAGAGGGAAAATAGCTAACAAAAAGGGCATGGATGATGTTTGCACTTCTGTATTGGTCTATAACTGCATTGCCTTGAGCTGTGATCTCATTAGAATTCAGAAGGCTAGTAACATCCATCTCTGGTAGGTACCAACATGAAGAAAAACCCCGGTTTCTGCAAAGGAGAATCTAATATGTAACTGCACACACACACACACACACACACACACACACCCTTTGTTTGTGTATATCTGACTACACTATTAAGAATAATGCACCAAATTCACTTTTGAAATTACTTAAGGCGGCACTCCTGGCCTAAACATAAATCAAATGAGAATATCGCCTATCTTGCAGTTAGGTGGGTTAAGATGAATGATTTTGCCACCATGCAGCAATTTTAGAAATGCAATGCAATGGAACCCACAGATGACAAGATCATATCAAGGCACTATGTCTGGAATTGACTCCAAAGCTATCCCTCTTTCGGGAAGTTTTTAAAAAATCTCGCTTGCAGAAGCATAACAGTCTTAGGGCGGATCTGCATCCATGTTTTTTATTGTTGCGGAAGGGTTAAGGAACGATAACGTTGGTAGACACACAACATCCTACTTTTTACGTTCATAATGCATTATTACCTTGTCTTTTTTATCACTTAATTTTTTATTGTTTTATGCTGCTATATCGGTGAAACATTGCTCATATGTAGTGTTTAACTTTTTTTTACTGCATTCAAGCTCTAAATAGTCATTCATTCATTCAGTATCTACTTTGAACTTCAAAAAAGGGTTTTATTCCCGGGGTAGCTTACAATTATCATTATCCATTTTTTTAACAAAGTATGAAATAAAAAATAAATAAATAACAGTAACAGTAACAGTAACAGTAACAGTAACAGTAACAGTAACAGTAACAACCCCCTGGTCCCAGCTGTGTTAAAAAGTCAAGTTCTGAGAGACTAAAACTAATTAAAAAAAAAAAAAAAACACCCTGGAAAAATCTGTGAAATGTTTTCTTGTTGGGTGCAAAAAATAAACAACAATGCGGCTGGTAATGGCAGGTGGCAACCCCTCTTCCTCTCACCTGTGCCACTACAGTGTACACCTAGATGGAGCTGTGGTTGGGCAGGGTGTTGGAAAGGTTGAGGCTGCATAGAAGTACTGCCCAAGCCAATTTGGTACTCCCATGGGTGCATCTGTCCCCGCCGCTCATTCCACGCAAGATGCAGCAATGGCGGTGATGGAAGGGCTACTCTGCATCTCCATCCCATGGCCCCTGCTGCAAGGAAGGAGCCAGGCAGACACCACTGAGGAGAGCATTCCACAGGTAGGACGCCACCATTAAAAATGATCCACCTCACCACAGGCAGCACCCAAGGGAGGGCCTACCAAAGAAGACTGGCTGATATGGGGGAAGCTAATTCCCACAGCTCTGAAGGGAAGTGTCAGCATTTTGAGTCGAGCCTGGAGATAGAACAGGAAGTGGGCCAGCTGCTCACTGTTGAGACTCAGCCCCAAGATTACAGGGACCGATAGGTCAATTTGTGGAAGTGTTCAACTTGGAAAAAAATCCATTGGCCACTTGCTTTGCCCTTACTTCATCTCATGCTCGTGGTGCAGTTACAAAAGCATTAGAGTGGTACCTCGGGTTACAGACGTTTCAGGTTACAGACTCCGCCATCCCAGAAATAGTACCTCGGGTTAAGAACTTTGCTTCAGGATGAGAACAGAAATTGTGCTCTGGTGGTGCGGCGGCAGCAGGAGGCCCCATTAACTAAAGTGGTACCTCAAGTTAAGAACTGTTTCAGGTTAAGAACAGACCTCCAGAACGAATTAAGTTCTTAACCCGAGGTACCACTGTAGTGATGTTCAGCTCCCCTCTTAGTGAGACTCATCCCAGTTGCTCTGATTCTGTATGGCATTTCTGAAGCCAGGAAATATGAAACGTGCCAAGTCTGCAATTGATTTGTGCTCCATTCATAAAACAGTCCTCCCTCCCTCCCTCCCTCTCACAGCTACTCACCACATACCTTCCTGCGGGGGAAAAAAAAAGATTTGGAAGAACCTGCCACATTCTGGCAAGCTTGGTTGCTACGGTGTGTTTCTGAGGGCCAAACCTCATGTGATGTTAATTGCATGAGAGGAGCCCTTAAGGAATGTATTTGCTGTAGTTAAGATGTAAATCAACAATCATAGCTCCCTATTTACATTTTTTTTAAAAAAAAAAATGCACATGAAATGCATTCACTCAGTTAACATTAAGTCTGCTTTCTCCTTGGCTCTTCTTTTCCCACTCTAGAAACTGCTGGCTTTAAAAAAAAAAGAAAATAAAGAAATTTTTTATTTTTATTTCTGTCCTGCACCATCTGAAGAGATGCTGCTGGACTTCAGTTTCCATCACACCTGGACACACATGGATGGGGGTCAGAGTCCAATAATATCTGGAGAGACCCAGCTTCCTGACCTTGGTGTTAAGCTTCAGACCAGCAGAAAAAAGGAAAGAAAAATAGCGGTGAATGAAACAGACAAGGCCCTGTCTCTGAAAGGCCTTACAAGCAAAATACAGTGGTACCTCAGGTTAAGTACTTAATTAAGCACCACTTTAGCTAATGGGGCCTCCTGCTGCCACCGTGCCGCCGGAGCACAATTTCTGTTCTCATCCTGAAGCAAAGTTCTTAACCTGAAGCACTATTTCTGGGTTAGCGGAGTCTGTAACCTGAAGTGTATGTAACCTGAAGTGTATGTAACCTGAAGTGTATGTAACCTGAGGTACCACTGTAAAATAAATAAATGGAACCAGAGGACAAGTAGCTACAGAATGCTAAAATGTGGTTGCAAGCCCAGCCGCAGAGCCCCCCAACCTAACCACTGAATGGTAAATGAATGGTCATGACAACAGTCTGGGATTTAAAATGGCCACAACTTTATTGATTTCAGATGTAGGAAGCCTTGGCATATGCACTGGGCATGTATCCCCTCAGTCCCTGGGGGACTGAGACATGACAGGGTCTATTTCGGGGAGGAACCATCGCAAAACGCAGGTTTACACAAATAGCCGCCTAACGCTGAGGGAAGCTCAATGGCCCACTAGCCCTATGCACTTGGCTCTTTGGACAGAGACTTCCCTCCAGACCCCTCTCACTGGGTATCCTGTTAACGCCTCCACAGGGAACGGGGGGTGGGGTAGTCACCACTTCATGAAACCCCAATTGGATGAAAGACTATAGGATTCCGCCCAAGGCCTTAACCGCCGAAGTTGTTACTAGTGCTATGGGAAAGGCGAAACCTGCAGAGCGGGGGAAATTCCTTCCCAGCCCCAAATATGACAACTGTCACTAGACCATAGCAAAGCCCACCTAGCTGAAAAGGAATGGTTAAAGCAAATAAATGGGAATGGAGGACAAGTAGCGATGGGATGCTAAAATGTAGATCCAAGCTTCTCCATTTGACAGTTCTGAAGGATGGGTAGGTGCGACTCCCAGGTGATCTCACTGTTACAAATTAAGGATCACAACGTACTTTAAAAGCGGATGGCGTTTTGATCATCAGTAAGTACTTTCAGGAAATTCCAGTGCTCCACATGCAACAAGGAAGTGTGTAATAGACAGCATTATAGTAATGTTTCCGTCGGCAGTGATCAAAAGCAGCGACTCTTCTGAAAGTGTTAATGGAGGCGTCAATTACAAGGACGCCGTCTGAGAAGCGAAAGCCTTGGAATAAATATGAGCAGGGCTGGTGCTCTAATGTGGCACGGTGAGGCGCAGGCTTCAAGTCTGGTGGATCATAAAGGGCAGCAGATTGTGCTTCCTACCCCTGACTGCTTCTACCAGGCAAGTAATCAGGCGCCCGGTGCGAGGCCAAAAATTGGTGCCCCCAAATATGGATATGTTGTGTCCCTTTGGCTCTGTGCCCTGTGCGGGGGAACTGCCCGCACCATCCTAAATCCGGTGCTGCTGCTATAGCCACCTCCCTGATTAGCATTCAGCCGACTGTGGCTGCTACGAAAGCAAGGGCATCCACCATGGCTGATGCTGATGCACATTCACCAACTCATTGACTGGGCATGTACCAATGTCTTCACTGGCATGGCAGCAGAGCCCACGTCTCCTTGCTCGGAGGACAGAGTCCTACCTCAGAGCGAGGCACTGTGGTTGAGGTGACCAGGGAGAGCGCTTGTGTTGCTGCAGCACTGCAGTGGCAGACGGCGACAAACATTTCAAAGCCTCTGCTAAACAGATAATTTAACAGTATTTTGCACCACTGCTGTGACGTGGCAGCGGCACAGGGGGTTCCTGGAGACCATCTCAGTTGCAATGAGGAAAGGACCTTTCTGCAGATTGTGACATTGAGCAGCAAAGGGTGGCCTTGGATTGGTAGAGGCCAAGGAAAAAAGGAGGTGGAACAAGAACAAGATAGCCCTAGGTAGGGAGTAGGAGCAGCAGGTAAGGACATAGAATCATAGAATTGTAGAATTGGAAGGGACCATGAGAGTCACCTAGTGGTCCCTCCCAACTCTACAATTTGATGATTCTATGAAGCCCCTGCAATGCATGCATGCATGAGTAAGTGAATGAATGAAACTTTATTTGCATCAGCCGTCGGCCATAGCAAAAAAAAGCATTGCGATATACACAGAACAAAACAAAAGTCAGTTATATAAAACACAGTCCTGACTCAGGAATCAAATAGTGGACCTTATTCTGATTGCCCTAGCTAGAAGCCTTGCAACCTTTGCAGCCATCTGCTGCTCTTGATCTGCCAGGAGAAACGACACTATGGCAGTGGTTGGGCGACCCGGAATGGTCAACAAAAGAGCATGAATCTTTCGCCCAATGTGGGGCTCGAACCCACGGCCCTGAGATTAAGAGTCTCATGCTCACTGACTGAGCTACCCCAGCTTCTCGCAAACAGGATAAGAGAAAAGGCAGCAGGGGCATGGAGGAGGAGGAGGAAACAACAGAAACAACATGCGTCATGCAGCACAGTCTTGCATTGGCCCTACTTATAAAGTGTCCCTACTTCCTGTCTGGGACTTTAGGGCACAATTCATGAGTGTTTAAGGAACACACACAGGCAGAAAAAAGATTGAATGTCTCCAATGGTGATGCTGCCTTAGCAGATAGCACTTTAGGCATGCTGCCTAAGATGCTGCCTTAGCAGATAGCACAAGTTCAGGCACTGGTTTTTCTGTGTTTCCATTCTTACCCACCCCCAGAGGGCGGGGTTTTTTTGGGGGTGGGGATTCCCTACAAAACATAATGCAATATGGCCCACAGGTAGAATAATACAATCATGGTGTTATGTACTGAAGTTCTCACCCTGGGCCAGCAGGGGAATACTGTAGATAGTTATGCAAATGAAGTATTGAAAGTGACGTTCAGTGATTGGATAGTTTTAGAAAGTTGCTACAGTAACATTGTACTGGAGCTCTATATAAGCAGGCTGACTGAGCCCTTCAGCTCAGTTCTGTTCTGGCCTCTGAATAAACAAGAGCTCTATATAAGCAGGCTGACTAAGCCCTTCAGCTCAGTTCTGTTCTGGCCTCTGAATAAACAAGAGCTGTTTGAAGAATCGCTGTGTCGTCTGATATGTTCACCCACAACTTAACACATGGTCCAACAAGAATGCAGGAATCTTTCGTCCAACATGGGGCTTGAACCCACAGCCCTGAGATTAAGTATTAACTGAGCTATGCCTCAGAGCTCGAATAAGTAAGGTAGGCAGCATCAACAAGTCATGTGTGAACAGATACACTTTCTCCTAAGGCAAAGCTGACATTAGATGCAGCCTGTAGTGTTGCATGGGATTGGGGTTCTGCCCCCCCCCAATATACATAATGTGACCTTCAGAGAACTGAAAGAGTAAAGCTGCTCATTCAAGACTTTAGGGAAATGTGGGCAGTGAAAAAACAGGACCAGCATGGTCCTTAATCAGCTCACAAACCAAGGCATATGGGTGAGAAACTGCAGCTCAGAGCTCTTCCAGCCAGCATGTTTTTCAAAACACTGGTTGTTTTAACCAAGTCTCAAACAGAATGAATGCCTTGTCATGTCAGAAAAGGTTATGCTGCAAATATTGCAGAATGATTGATTAAAGTAAGACAGATTTATAGGTCACATCCTCTAATGGCAACAGAAGCATTCATTTAATTCTCTCGTAATAGGGTAAGGATATGTAACAGGAAGCCCTGTCCTTTACCGGCAATGCATCCTGGCAGAAGTTTCCTTCACAGCTAATTTAGGTCTGTAGCAGAGAAACAGGAGTGACAGGAAAAGGTACCTCAAGGAAGAAGTGCCAGCTATCCTGGCAGGTTTTGTGCCGCAGTCCTTGCTTTGAACTACGCTGCCCAGGTTGATTCTGCTAGCCTTTCGCCTGCCACTAAGCCTAGCAGCTCCTGCCAACCTAGCAGTCTGAAAGTACATCAAAGTGCAAGTAGAAAAATAGGTACCACTCCGGCAGGAAGGTAAATGGCGTTTCCGTGTGCTGTTCTGGTTGCACTAGAGTGGCTTGGTCATGCTGGCCACATGACCCAGAAAAACTGTCTGCGGACAAACGTCGGCTCCCTCGGCCAGTAAAGCGAGATGAGCGCCGCAACCCCAGAGTCTTTCGTGACTGGACTTAACTGTCAGGGGTCCTTTACCTTTACCTTTAGGACTAGTAGCAAAACAGCTCATGTGACTTGCAAGTGAGCTACCCTGCCAGGAGAAGAAAGCAACAACTTCTGCAAGCACAGTGGAACTTCACCTCCCTCTGCTTCCTCCCCTCTGTGCTTTCTGAACTTCTACAAAATCTTCTCCAGAGCAGATTTTTTTTGGGGGGGGACGGACTCTGGGCAGCTTCCAATGTATATAAAAACACAACAAAACATTTAACATTTAAAAACTTCCTTACACATCTGCCTTACATATCTGCCTGTCTTTTAAAGGTTATATAGTTACTTATCTCCTTGGCATGGGGGGCGGTAATACCACCACCACCATTATTACTACTACTAATAATAAATTTTTATTTATACCCTGCCTTCCCTGGCCAGAGCTGGGCTCAGGGCAGCTAACACCAGTAAAATTACAATAAAAACATAATAGGGGAAAAAGGGGGAAAAAACCAATTTTAAATATGGGTTAAAATACAATTTAAAATGCAGCCTCATTTTAATAGTAGCCCATAGATCAAAACCATAAAGGGAGGGAAACATAAAGGTCAGACTGAGTCCAAACCAAAGACCAGGTGGAACAGCTCTGTCTTGCAGGCCCTGCAGAAAGATGTCAAGTCCCGCAGGGCCCTAGTCTCTTGTGACAGAGCGTTCTACCAAGTTGGGGCCAGTACTGAAAAGGCCCTGGCCCTAGTTGAGACCAATCTAACCACCTTGCCACTTGTGACCTCCAAAGTGTTGTTATTTGTGGACCTTAAGGTCCTCCACGGGGCATACCAGGAGAGGCGGTCCCGTAGGTATGCGAGTCCTAGGCCGCATAACTCCATACCCTCCAACATTTCTCCCATGAAAATAGGGGTGTCCTAAGGAAAAGCATTCTAGGATCAAATCAGAAACCGGGATGTTTTCTGTAAATCCAGGACTGTCCCTGGAAAATAGGGACACTTGGAGGGTCTATGCTTGAAGCACTTGTTTCAAACGCATCATGATTTAATTGCATACAACTCTTTCTTCCGGGATTTTGTGTGTATGTCTCTCAAGCGACAAGCCGGGTGTCCTTGGAGGAATAAAACTTTAAAAAGCACATTGTGAAATATTAACTTGGGGAGATACTCCACCTATGGCTTAAGAAGATGATAACAGACAAGGTAGAAGAGGAAGGAGAGTCACATCTGCTGAGCAATGTTGAAGAATGTCGACTTACCAGATTCTGTTGACATAGCCAATAGAATTGCTGGAATTTCTGAGACATGAGGAGCTGAGCACTTCCCACGGCGCTCCGGATCTTACCTAGAACTGAACAGGCAAGGTGGTTGCCGTTAGTATGGGTTTGAAGCAAAAACAAAACAAAACAAGGCACCAATACTTTTGTGTTAACAAAAATGTTAAGCTGGAAAATCCTGTCATTGAGAACTTTTCTTCTTAAACCCTGTTCAAGGAAGATAGAATCCCAGAGGTCCTATTGTAACTGTTGCATTTATTTTGTCAAAATCTTAAAGAGGAATTGCCCTGGGGATGGTGGGGTGAGGGGAAGGAAATAAAATTATTTTCTCCATTGGTAAAAAATATAGCGAAATCACACTTGCAAGGTTGGGTAGGGGTTTTTTTTTTTGCTAGATATTGGTTTGATTTTTGCACTAGGTGAATTGCTATCCTTTGCTCACTCATCTGTTTACAGAGGATCCACAGGCAGTGGCAGCTGATGCCCAATGGACTTGGTGGGACTGCTAGGAGGTCACAGAGGCATGGCGAATGAGAAGTCACAGAGGTCTGGCCAAGTTCTTCTGGTTATCCCCCTTGCAAAGATACACTTAAGCATCACAGTTGCTTATTTGCTGGGAGAAGAGTGAGTGTGGGTGTTCACCTGTTCTAGTTCTCTCCCGCCTTCCACCTTTGCAAATAAACAGTGTACACTGATATAGTGGTACCTCGGGTTACATACGCTTCTGGTTACATACACTTCAGGTTACAGACTCCGCTAACCCAGAAATAGTACCTCGGGTTAAGAACTTTGCTTCAGGATGAAAACAGAAATCGTGCAGCAGCGGCGCAGCGGCAGCAGGAGGTCCCATTAGCTAAAGTGGTGCTTCAAGTTAAGAACGGTTTCAGGTTAAGAACGGACCTCTGGAACGAATTAAGTACTTAACCTGAGGTACCGCTGTACTTTTCAGTTTTAACAATACTTAGCACCTACTTTGGTTCAGAAGAGGGTCACTGCTGCCCCCATTTCTGAATTGGGTTCATGCCGCAATAATGGTTCACCACTCAGAAGTAAGCCCCACTCAACTGCAATGGAGATTCTTCCCTTGTAAGCATGAACAGGATTGAAACCTGAATAGGTTGGTCTTAAAGGTGCCACATAGGACTGTTAACAAGGGAGCCCATAACTGGCATGCTTAATTGGCATTGTAATTAGCTAAGAAGTTGCAAGGTATCCCATTAATAAGGATGAAGGGTGAGATCCAACGGCACTTTCCACATTTACAAATTATAATGCTATAGTTGCTGCCTGATCTGATGTTTTAAGAGTGAATTTGTAGCTGATTGCACCTTTGGTCAAATGCCACTGTTATGAAGAGAGTGAATTCAGGGTTTACATTTCCACACTAATGGCAGGTTCTGGCCAAACTCGAAGTACTGGTTTTGACCTGCAAAAGCCTTAAACGGCTCAGGACTGCAATGCCTCAAGGACTGCCTCTCTCCATATGAACCTGATCTGACCCTGAGATCACCCTCTGAGGCCCTTCTTTGTGTGTCTCCTCCATGAGACGTCTGGAGGGTAGCAATATGAGAACAGGTTATGAGCATGCAGGGATAGCCATTAAAAAACTTTTTTATTTATTAATTAACTGGTTGCCTGGTATTCCAGAATTCTGATTTTGTGGGAGTAAAGATTGGAAGAGGAGCTATGTGTCTGCCTGAGGCATGACGAACCTGGTTACAGTGAGGAAATTTTGTCTGCAGCTAATGGTTGCTGCTATGAGCTTATATCTTTCTCTTCTGAACTGAGCTCGTAAACTGGCGGTTCTCACTGGTTGGAGCAAAGTGGCACAAAACAGATGGCTCCCAAACCACACCTACCGACCCACTAGCCACACAAACAGAAATACTGTGGAGCCATTTCAGATCTTTCACAAGAGTTGGATCTTTTGAAATTGTAGAATCAGTGGGGTTTTGAGTATAGTATTCCAATGAATACCCACTGAATAATGATGGTGTTATGTGGCAGTGTGCACACACAAATTA